TTCTCTCCTGGGTTGCAAGCTCCAATAGCCCAAAATCTTGTTTGCTTTGGCTTCGCTTCAAAAAGATGTCCCACATGCCGCATGGCTGTACCGAAACTGGGAACGCCTTGCTTTTGGGAGTGGGTCCAAAAGTCAAGCGACGGACAGAGCCTTTCTAAATGGTGGGCTTGGTTGGTGTCCTGTGGGAAGCTTAGCATGTCTGAGCATCCGCGTTCTGCCCACATCTATGCTATTCTGGCGCGGCGGTTGCGGTGTTGCATCAATCATGAGGAAGGCCGGTCGAAGGCGGGGGTGGCAGGGGGCCAAGAGTGAACCCCTTTCTGGTGCTGCAATGTGGGCAGGACCCTGCAAGCAAAAGCGAAGGACACCCCATCACTGCAAAAATTATGGGAAGGCTCTTTGGCATGTGTCAAAAGCACGGAAACCACGGCCCCTGAGATGGCAACGGTAGATCCCGCTGCGGGCATAAAGCTATGACTCCCCCTTCAGAAATCAGACAATGTCACACCTGCGTTCAAACACTGGTTGGTCCACTCAGTTTGCGCTTGTGTCCTGCTTAAGTGACTTTCATGTCTATTCAATTCTATCTGGATGTTTCCCGAAAATGTCGGGATGTCCCCAAATGCATACGCCTTGCCCACCAATCTGGGGGGCAGCTCCCCCTAATCCAACAGCAACCGACAGAATTGGGCTTGAGATCCCATCCCAATGCCGTTCCTTGGTTTCAGGGTAAAATCATTGCCACGGCCCTTTCCGAGGGAACAAAGTGTCAACTCCTTGAGGAGTAGAGTTCTACGCGTTGAAGGGGGGATTTGTTTGTCCGTTCAGAGGGCTGATTCACTGTTGGACCCCTTTCGTTTGGTAAAGGAGCATAGTGAAGCCTTGGTGTGGTTAAGAAACCGGCAGCTGATGTTTGAACGACACACTGAGAGCGAGGATAGGGCAACTTGGTGCGAGTGTGCGCAATTGGGGTACGAAGAAGCCGTACGGAATCCTTGTTTGACCACACAAAAAACAAAAATCCAAGGAGCCATTAGAGCAACGAAAGCTCAAACTGTTTCGCTCGCGTTGGAAGAACCAAAGAGCTGTCCAACCCAAGGAAACCAGAGGCCCAACCCAAGGAAAACGTACTAACCCTGGGGGCTCTCATGGAAGGCCTCTAAGAACCTGGGGGCTGGCGTCCGAGTTCGGCTCCATCCGAAAGCCTCAGAAAGTCAATACTCGGGTGAACATAACAGTCGTGGCCAATATACATATAGTTGTACATACAAAACGTGATAATGTATTTTAGAAACGTGTATGTATGGCATGGCGTGGCGTGGCATGGCATGGCAAGGCAATGGTGTGGTAGGGTATGGTATGTTATGTAGTGTAGTGTAGCGTAGTGTAATGTAATGAAATCGAATGTAGCGTAGTGTAGTGTAATGTAACGTGTGTATATATATATATACATATATATATATATATATATCCATATGGATATACACGCATGTATGGATGCGTAGAAATGGTCCCCCCCTCTTCGCCTTCCTTTTGTCTTCTCCGATGGAAGGCATCGCTCGCTCACCGGATGCGATGCTGTTTCCAAGGCACGCGGCATCTGCGAGTCCAAATCGAAAGCAGAAACACGAGCAATACATTTATATATATATATATGTAGGGGCTAATCATGAATGACTCATATGATTCTTCCATTGTCATGACTTAACTTAGATCAAATCGTACCTCTAACCCCATTTTAATGATATAGCTCCTTACATATGAGGAGCAAAATAATACTAGCAGTCGACTCCTATAAGCCGACAATGACATGTGGTTTACAGTCGCCAATCCAATTGTAACAGATTTGGCCTTGTATCACTGCCCTGCAAACACATCTCCTCGAAATTCAATTGGACCGCCCCCCAAAACAAAGGAAACAGAAACTTGGGGAGCCTTCTTGGGGTGGACCTGTACCTTTGTCTTTGACTCGGCAAATTCACATACGCTCCTGAGGAAAGAAAACAACAGGTCAGCAACAGCATGTTGGGAGGCAACTCACAAAGGGCTCCAATCAGAGTGACCTGGCAACCAATAAAACCCTGAGGGTCTGTCTTTTTGTTGAGGCCCGTTGGGATTTGTTCTTTCACGAAAGATGCCCAAAACTGAGGGTCCCCTATTCGAGAAACCCCTGAAGGAGCCTTTCTGCAAAATGCGCCGCCTCATCCCAACTTCCGGGCTCTTCAAACTAGGGAAAAAAATGGGGGGGGGGGACACATCCGAGCAGGGGATGGTTCTGCTTTGAGAACCAAGAGTAAACCTTGGGGATCGGACGTTGTTTGAAGGTCTGTCTGCGAATCTGCAGAGTTTGGACTCCAAAGATGGTGTCACACACGAAGCAGTCCTGAGCCTAAGCACGCCTGGCCTTTGGGGTAACCCCGGTACCCTTTTGCAGGTTGGTGTTTAAAGGAACACCAAAAGGAAAACCGAAATCTAGTCTCCTATTTTGAGAAAACAACACATGAGTACCCTACCCGTTATGTTTTGGGTGATTGCGGCATATTGCCAAAGCTCCCACATCGTCGCATGGTTGGGCCTAAGCCGCAAGCTGGCAGGACTCGCTTGATTGCCTATGCCCAATCTAAGCCATTCATTTGTGCCTTGCTTCTGCCAGGAAGCTGTCCTTCAGGGGAGGGAAAAAAGAGACCCCCCTCCCCTGGGCCCCGGGGACGGCGGCGCTTAGGGTCTACTGTATTTTGCAACCTCCTTCATGTAGGGCAATGGTGGACAAGGGTTGGCTGCAAAATAGATTGGCACAGGAATCCGGTAAGGGTTCAAGACAGGCTGGGGGCTAGGGTGGTCCTTTTTCCCCCTGAGAGTTCCTTGCGCACGGGAGGGATGCGCTAAGATCTGCCACTTATTGCCCTTTGTTTCAGAGATGTATCATTTCTGCGAGCAACTAAAAGGGCGAACAAAAAGAGGTCAATCCTAGCCAAAACCCAGCACCGGGTATGAAAGTTGTCTACCCAAACCCACTCGCCGATTTCTGGCTGCCCCTATCGCCCATCGTTTCGGGCTTTAGCCGCTGCGTGTCCCTCCCATTCTGATTGCTCAGATGGGCTGTTGCAACCCTCCTGCGAATTTGAACATGGCGAATTTTTGACGGGCCCGGCGTTAGAGCACATGACCAAACAACATGGATGGTTCCCCATAAATGGTGGCGTGTCTTCGGGTGTTTCACAAGTGTGGCGCGGTGTCGGATACAGCCAGGTTTCGGCGGTGTCGGATGCAGACCCTGTGCCTAAGCCCCAGATTACACAAGGACCTACACACATTGTCAGGAGCCACACTCTCTCATTGCTTGGGCCTTGGATGCCCTTGACTTTTCTGCCCTTGAGTCCCTGAAGTGCTCTCCCATTCCCTTCCCACCGGAGGGGGGGGCAAGGGGACGGGGGGAAAGGAAAGAAAGGAAACGAGCGAAAGAAGGGAAAGGAGGAAAAAGGGAAAGAAGGGGGGGAGAAAAGGAGGGGAAGGAGGGGAAGGAGACTCAGAGTGAGCAAAAGGGAGAATTGCTGGCAAAGAAGATAGCCGCTTGAGGGTTGCCAGCCCCGAATTTGCCTTACCTTTGTTCAGCGGGCACCCCCGGTGGAGCAAGGCCTCAACGGCGCAGGACCATCATTGGCTGCTGCCTGGAGCGTCTGCCAGTTTGGGGGCGCTTCAAAAGACTCTGAACCTCTCCGTTTGGGCGTGCTTTCAACCGGAATGCGAAGGGACCACCACAAACAGGACAGAGTTCATGACTCGAAAGGCTGTAGGAACTGGTCTGAACAAGATCCAAACCGTCCAACACAGCAGTCACTTGAAGCAAACACAGAGCAATAGATCGGTCTTGCCAGCTGCCACCCTTGTCAAAGGATCTGCATAACCCCGAAGCAATACCGCCCTAATGGAAGTCGCATGCCATCTCACACCCAAGGGGTGTGGGAAAGCCTCAGCACTTGAACTCTTCGAAGGCCTAACTTGTTTTCCCGATCGAGCTCGTGCAACCTGCTCTGCTGGGAAAATCTGTTCCAATGATCCCCCAAATTGGCATCTTAATCTGCCGGAGTGTCACGCATCCTTTTGAAGCTTCCCCTTAAAACCCTTCCAACATGGTCAGCAGCCAAGTCTGCGGGGGCTTTCGTGGTCGATTCCGTGGGCAAAAACGAGAGTTCTTTCCTTTGATGCGGTGTGGGCGCGGGATAGTTTTGGGCAAGCAATCCGGAAAACAACTGCGCACCCCATGGACGACACCCCCCAAAACCACATCTGGAATGGGGGGTGCTACGTCTCTGCACTGGAAGCAAACAGGACAGTTACGCGCACACACACAAAGAAAAAACATAACGACAAAGGAATCAATGAACTAGCCAAACAACCAGCCATCCAACCGAACAAAACAAAACAAACAAACAACACAAATAAACAAACCAAACAAATACACAAACAAACAAAACAAACCAAAAAACAAACAAACAAACAAACAAACAAACAAACAAAGCAAACAAAACAAAACAAAACAAACAAACAAACAAACAAACAAACAAACAAGCAGACAAACAAACAAACAAACAAAACAAACAAAACAAACAAACAAACAAACAAACAAACAAAACAAACAAACAAACAAACAAAACAAACAAGCAAGCAAACGAACAGACAAACGAAACAAAGCAAAACAAAGCAAAACAAAACAAAACAAAACAAACAAACAAACAAACAAAACACACAACCAAACAAACAAACAAACAAACAAACAAACAAACAAACAAACAAACAAACAAACAAACAACTTGACAGACAAACACACAAACAAACAAACAAACAAGCAAGCAAACAAACAAACAAACAAACAAACAAACAAACAAACAAACAACTTGACAGACAAACAAACAAATGACCAGACAAATAAACAACCAAAACACACAAACCAAGCAAACAAGCAAGCAGGCAAGCAAACAAACAAACAAACAAACCAACAA